CCAAACTGGGAGCCCTGGGAGGGGAGAGGGTGGGGTCAGCACATGCACACCGGTTGCTAAGCAGCTGCTTCCTTAGCAACGGGGACTATTACTGAGGAGAGACCTAGAGGCCTGATGAAGGCCCTGTAGCCGCACTGCCAGCTGCTGGCACCCAGCAGGCAACCCGTCCAGATGCTGAGGGGACAGAGGGACTCTGTGGCTAGGGTGTGGTCCTTAGCAACAAAACGACAGGGAGATCAGGTCCTTGGGCCAGGGAGGTCCCGAGGAGGCCCTTGTTGCTAAGGAGACCCTCTTCCTTAGCAAGGGGGGAAGGGGCAGGACCTGAGGACCGGCTGCAGGAGTCTCTGCCCCGCAGCAACAGCAGCCCTAGAGCCTGGGTGGGCCTCCAGGAGGGGGCCTGGCGGTGAGGCTGAACGCCGAGGTGGGCCAGCCGGTGGTGCAGCCGCAGAAGCTCTGAGGCTGGCCCACGCGGAAGGCCCCGCGTTTGTGTCGGGGACCCCCGTGAGCACACCGGGCACACGTGTGCCTGTGATGCCCGTGTGCACGGTCCCTGAGCGCGCAGGGCAGCATCATGGTGCTGGGGGTGAGATCTCTGTCTGTCTCTGTCTCTCCTGTTCATGGAAGAAGTAAACTACGAGTGAAACAAAGATGCCGATCCAAAGCTGTGGGAAGAAAGGGTACCTGGGCGGACCCGAAGTACCACAGGGCCTGGATGTCCTGGTGCAACGCCAGGCAGCGCGTGAGGTGGTCCCGGTCTCCTGTCACCACGTTCACCAGGCCTGCCGGCAACAGGGTGGCCATTTCCTAGGGGACGAGAGAAGGGCGGCCGGGGTTGGGAGGAGGTGGGCAGGGCGGACTGAGCTTTCATGGCATGGCCAGGGGCTCCCGGGGGAGTGGGGCTGAGCCGTGGGCTGGTGCAGCTTGAGGCCCGAGAGGACAGGTACTGGGTCCGTGAGGAGCGAAGACTGAATGTGGGTTCCCATGGTGACCATGTCCTTCAGGCCTTGGGACAACTCTCGGCTGCTGCCCCAGGGGCTGCTGGGAGTCGCAGCAGGCAGGTGACTGTACCTGGCAGGCCTCTAGGGCCAGCAGGGGACAGGCCCCACTGGGCACCATGACCACAGCATTGCCGTGGGCTAGGGCAGGGGCCAGCAGCGACACGAAGGCAAGCAGGGGCCACTCGTCCGGGCACACGATCGCCAGCACGCCCAGCGGCTCCCGCACTCGGAGCACAGGGCCTCTCAGCCCTGCGACCTATGGGGACAGGTGGGCGTCACAGCCAGGCAAGGGGACCGGCTGTCCTCCCACGGCCTTCTCCACCCCTGCCCTCTCCTCCTCTCGCCCCATTGACGCTTCTCCATCACAACTCTAGTCAAATACAGCCACGCGATGGTTCAGAGCACAGGGCTCTTGGAGCCACACGGCCTGGGTTCAAACCCCAGTTTGGCCACTCCTCAGGTGGTGACCTTGGACAAGTTATGTAACCTCTCTGGGCTTCTGTCTCCCATCTTAAAAGTGAGATAACTGGACCAGCCCTTAGCGTAATGGCTATGTCGCTGGACTCCCATGTAGTTGACTGCAGTTCGTGTCCCGGACCCGGTGGCTTAAAAACTCACACCGGGCGCATGTGCATGCCGGCCCAGGATCCCGAGAGGAGAACGAAGGAGAAGGGATTGTGGCATGGCCATCCCCCCTGGGGGGTGATTTCTCACTTTCTGTCTCTCTGTCTCTCTCTGTCTGTCTGGCAAGCGCACGCGCCCTATAGCGAAAACCTCTCTCTCAAAAAAAAGAGAGATAACAGGCCAGCAGGTGGCGTGGTGGGTAAGGGCACTGGACTCCCACACGGCTGACCACGGTTCGAGTTCAGACCTGGCAGTGTGCTTTCTTGCTTTCTCTCTCTCTCACTCTGTCTCTCTGGTCAAGTTAAAAATAAATAAATAATGGTAAATAAAATAATTCTTTTTTTTGGGAGAGGTTTTTGCGATAGGGTGCATACGTCACCAGAAAGACAGAAAGTGAGAAATCACCTCCCAGGGGAGATGGTCACGCCGCAATCCCTTCTCCTCCATTCTCCTCTCAGGATCTTGGGCACACACACGCGCCTGGGGTGAGTTTAAGCTGTCGGGTTTGGGACTTGAACAGTGGTCGACTACATGGAAGTCCAGGGACACAGCCATTATACCAACTGCTGGTTCCAAAAATAATTAAAAAAAAAAAAAAAAAACCCTGGTCATGGCCTGACTGACCCCGTGGTCCTGAGAAGGTCAGTGACCGCCCCATGAGGCCTATTCAGAGGAAGCGGGTGCAGAGAGGCAGAGCCGCTGGCGATGGCCCCAGCTGCTGGCAGCAGTGTGTGGGCCAGGCCCCAGCCAGCCCTCTCCAGCCTCCAGTGCCCCCAGCTGCCTGCCCACCCTGCTCGCCACCCACAGGCCCTCTCACCTGCAGGGTGTGGCCCTGGGCCTGGGTCCGGGCCCCCCATGCCCGAAGGCGCCTGACGCTCAGCTCCACCTCTGCCTTGGCGGCCTTGAGCTCCGTCCCCTGCCGCTCCAGCCTGGAGACCAGGGTGGGCTCCCGGCGCTCCAGTGCAGCTGCCAGGGCCCACAGCAGGGCTGCCCGGGCCCCAGGGGACTGGCTTGGCGCACG